AGGCCCCCCCCCTTGCCCCCCGCCCCGCGGGAGCGGCCCACACCCAGGCGGACCCCTGGCTCCTCGCTGAGTCTGAGCGAGTCCTGCGCGTTCACGAGCAAAAACTGGCGTGTGGATGGACAGCCGCACGTTCCTTTCTCCACCAAGGAGTTCATCCTTCCCAGGGTCCGTCCTGTCCCACCAGCACAATATTAGGGCGGTTTTCAGGTTTAGAGTAGAAAGAAACGGTCACTTTCCCAGCGCTCCGTGCCACTCTGTGACCCCTCTCAACCCACTGAGACCCTGGTCTTGGCCCTGGAGTGGAAACCAGTCCTCAAGCTCAGAACCCAGGGCCACCTCAGCCACGGCCTTTGCTGTCGGTGCCATTGGAGAAGGAATGAAGCAATCAGGCGCCGGGGACCAGCGCTGCAGAGCTCGGGTGGCAGAGCAAGGTGGTCGTGTGTGTGTGTGTGTGTGTGTGTGTGTGCAGACCACACACCTCAAATCAGGCGTGGGGTGCAATTCCTGTTAAAATCTCTGCCCCAGGAAGCAAAATGGCGACCAGCAGGAAGGTAGGGAGGGAGAGAGTGTGAGAGCACAAGGAAGTGATAGAGGAGTGTGTGGACGTGTGTGGTGTGTGTGTATGAGCTAGGGACAGTTAGATTCTGCAGGTCTTCTAAGGGGCTGCTAAACCGGGCAGTCTTAGGCGGCGGAGTCCAGCTCCCGGCGCGGACACTCCTAGGCGGCCAGCCCAGGCACAGCGACCACGCCATCTTGGGAAACAGAGCTGCTTGAGACTAGGATCCTGGCCTCAGCACCACCCAGTCTGATCTCAGACGCATACCAGGACCCTGCAGCCACTGGGGACAGAGACCTGCGACCACAGCTACAGACCTGCGGACACCAAAAGTTCGGAGATCCCCGCGGCAGATCCGTGAGTAACAGAGCCCACCCCCCCTTCCCGCAGGCTCGCGGGCAGCGCCATAGTAACTGATAGACCCGCCCCTTGCCGGGGCCTCAGCGCTGCAGGAACTTTGGCCTGGAAGTGCGCGAGCACCTTGGAACTGATCCCGCGCGCACTTCGGGCTTCAGAGCCCTGGGCTGGGAGAAAACTCGCCCGCAGCACCAGGAACTAATCCTACGCGCACTGCCAGCTTCGGAGCCCTGGGCTGGGAGCAATCGCGCGAACGGGAATTGGTCTGCCTAGCACAGGCCCAAGGATCCCTTTTCTAGGGGCAGGAGGCAGCACCAAGCACCAGTGACTTGACTGTGTTTCTTATCACCTGCGCCTGAAATCCTGATTCCCTGTGCATTCATA